TTTCCCATTCAACACAGGGCATACAAATTTAATTAAAAAATATACTTTATAGAAAACGTAGTATCTTTTTACCTATCTTGCAACTGCGAACGGCGCTTGATAAATTCGCCCTTTTTAAGCAGCTGTAAGAGGAGATATCATTCAACTGTCGCCAAACCACAAAACCTCCATCCGAAGCCAAAGTTCTAGGCTAGACAAAAACGTAGGAGAACAAGGAGAGCGACAAAAAAAGATGATTAATTTACGCGTCCATTGGTCTATCCGTTGTCCTTTCTGGGGACTCCCGCTTTCAATGGGACTCGAGCTCATTGTTTGCGCAGATTTACAAAAGCAGCCGAAACTTAATTTGATTAACTTTGAGTAGGTTTTTTTTTTGTGTCGCCTTTGTCTTTCCGGCTTCGGTTCATCAGCAGATGAGATGCGAGCGGTGAAGCGAGGATAGAGGAGGATTGGAGTGATGTGATGGTGGGAAAATCGGCGGGAAAAAAGGACAAAGGATGAGGCCAGAAGCAACGTTGACGTTGATAATGATGTGGCCAGCCATCATCAGCGCTCGTCCGTTGGCCATAAAAAGTTACAGACTTTTAAGTGTCCTGCGTTGGCATTTTATTTTAGTTTATTGGTTGGCAATGGCAAATGAGAATGCCAGCTGAGAGATGAGGTGGAGCGTGTTTATGGCTGGGGCGTTCTACATAGATGGGGGCTCGTAAATCGGTATTAGTGTCCCTAAATGATGTCCACGGCATTGCACAGACAATGAATACGAATCGCGAGGCGAAAGCAAATTGAATGCCAATTTCATTTGAACTTAATTAAATGGCTGAAACTTTTTGGAAAACAAAAAAAATAAGCTTGTAAAATAAAGTTCCCAGCAGCTGTTGTCGCAATAATTACCCTAGATGAAAATAGCACGAATGTTAGGCTGGCCATTCTAAACTGAAACTTTAAGCTTTTATTTTAAAATGCAAAATGTTTGATTTAAGAAAGATCTATAGTTGTTTTTAGGTTAAGAGGTCTCCATTTCATGCACCATAACCTTAATTGAAACTCATTATTTACATGATTGCATATCTTCATCCAATTGCCCAAGGATTACATGTAATCTTAAACCATCTTAAAATCAGCAGTTTAGTTTTGCACATTAAGCTTTCCCAAGTGCACCCGGGGTATATATTTTATTCACTCAATATTGAACTTTTCATAACTTAATTAAGCAACAGCCAAACTGGAATTGCCTTCATATATGCATTAGTTGGCGTTGCTGGGACCTAGGCTAAAACTTTGCTGAGTCTGTGAGGTCTAATGTCTTTGCTTTGGCAATTTGGCTAAGGGTGTTTTGCTGTTTTGTTGTTCGAGGCTGCGATCCTTTCTGTGTTCCTGCTGCCGTTGCTTTTGCTGTTCTCGGTAATGTTTGTTTTCATTAACATTATTGTTGCTATTGTTGTGCGGCCAGCAACACCAACAACAACAAACATTGACGCAACTACACTTGAATGCATTTTGTGCAATAGCTACAAACACACCGCCAGCAACAACAATAACAATGGAAACAACTCCAAAAGCCCCCAAAGGTATAATTTCAATTTCAACACTTTACAAACACGCCACAGTTGCGTCATTAACTGGGAAGTTTGCATGCGCGTCTCGTCTGCAGTTTTCAGTCCGTACACTGAAATGTTACACTGTGGGCTAGGTGGATTGGCAATAAATACAGAGGAGTTAGCTAGTTTGAAATAAATAGGTTTTAATCTAGCTCTGACATGCCAAAAAGTGTCAACGCATTTGTTCGCTAAAATATGTTAAGCTATTTTGGCATAAGTAAGAAATGTAGTTTTATTTTAGAACAAAATATTAATATTATGCAATTTATTTAATTATGTTCAAAATAAACTCTTTTTTAATAATTATTCATATCATTGAAATAGCCGTTTAATTTTTTATGTCTTCGATAAATTTCATTCCCGATGGAATAATCTAATTTTTATTGCCGTATCAAAAATTAATGAATATTTGTTGCATCTTGGTTTTGTTTTTGATTTACAATGCCTTTTTTATTTGACTTATAATCTTTGAAATCAGTAAATTATCTGGGATGTGTTTTTTTAAAGAATGAGCATTAATTCGTTAAGTGCATTTAGGTATTCATGTCTGTATCGCTGCGTCGCACAAAGTGCGCTGGCTGACGGAAATGGCCGAAAGCAACAACGGCGACAACGACGTCGGAGATGAGTTCAACGCAGCGTCAGGTGCAGCAGCAACAAGAGCACCAGCAGCAGCAACAACAGCAGCAGCAGCAACAACAACAACAGCAGGAACAGCAGCAGCAACAACAGCAGCAGCAGCAGCAACAACAGCAGCAGCAGCAACAACAACAGCAGCAGCAACTAGTATCAGCGCGCAACACTAGCAATAACAACATGCTAAGAGCTCTTTTCCAGTAGTTGCTGTTGTTTCATAAAACTTTATTGTTCCATGTTTGTTGTTTTGCGCCATTGCTGCCGTTGTTGGTGTTGCTGTCGTCACTGCTGTCGCGGCTGCTGCTGCAATGCTTCAAGCAATACATAAAATCATTTTTGCCACCCCGCCCTCGAGCATTGACTAATGCTGACACCCCGGCAACACGAACACCCAGCAGCAACATCAGCAACGTGGCGAACATTACAACTGTTGTGGACCATTAAGTTGACGTTTTTCCGTTGCATTTGCCGCGACATTCGTCCCCATGCCATCGGGATGCACTCCGGTCTGTCTGTCGGGGGCGTTGATAGCCATCTAACTGGGCGAGCAGCCGCCAAGCAAAGTGGAAAAAGGCCACAGTTCCGCTTGGTTATCTACGGCCACCTTCAAGGTGAGCGGGCGGGAATGTGCACCTTAAATCGATTTCTCTGCTTTCCCAGGATGAAGGAGGAAAATCAATTTCAGTCCCGATGGAATAATCTAATTTTTATTACCGCCGCATACCAATTCGTCACTTGCTTATTCCTTTGCATACACAGCCACAGATGGGGCTAAAATAGTAGCAGTTAAGTTAAATATAATTGTTATAGATATAGTGTTCATTTATTTACCACAAACATAGACAAAATAGCCCGGGCAAATCTTTGCAATAAAAAACAACTAAAAACTTTATAAATAGTCGAATAGCTGATATTTCTCTATCAATAATAAAAGACTATACTTAAACTTTGATTTTACCTTGCAGATTGCTTATTTATTTAATATGTCTGATATATTCCAACCATTTTTATATGTAAGTGGGTCTATTACTAAAAAAAACAATTTTTTTAGGGCTATTGTTTTACCCGCAGTTGTGTACACATAACTTTTATCTTCTTCCACCATTTCTCATCGGCTAAATGCTGCCGGATGCACAAGCTGCAAAAACACCGGCAAACAGGATTGCACATTTCTTTTATGCAGTAATCATTTGCGGCACTTTATTGAATTCCAAGCGGTAGCGGCAACCGAAAACAGCCCGCACAACAAGCCCCGCCCACTTCCGCCATTCGCCGGCAGGTGTTGGCTTTACCCTCCTTCCTCTCTCCCCTTTGCTTGGCATTTTTCCGCTTCGATTTTTGCTCTTGCTATTCCTTCACACACATCACATGCTTGCTTTAGCTTTTTGCTTTTCCTTCGTGCTGTTTGCTTTGCTTTGCCCGGCCAAAAAATGCAGGAAAACGTTGCATACTTTAAGGCGAAAGTCAACCGCAAAGTGAATTCCGCCATCGACAGGCGCCATCTTGCAGTAGCCAGTGTGCCCAGGTTAGTTTTTTTCCTAGGCTGAATTATTTGAAATAACTCTTATCAAACAATTTCATTTTTTTTAATTTGTGCTTAAATCTAGCATACTAAACTGTTTTTGGAGGCAATATATCACAAAACAGTAAAATTAATTTGTTCAGGTATAATTTGAATATTTAAAAATAAACTATCTTAAAAGAAAAACATTGTTTAATGAAAACAGCGAGAAAAAAAATTTTAATTTGGGTTTTAAAATTTATATAGTTGCTTGCTAGATTTTGTTGCACTCTGGATGCATTTTTTCAAGCCAAAAACTTGCCAACACTTCATGTGTGTTAACTCGGAGGGCTGTAATCTTGGGCAATCTTAATGCGGATATATTAAACTTATTTTTACAGCATTTCTCTCGGCGATTTCTTGGCCTCCTCCCCAATCTGGATTCTTTATTTTCATATACTTTGTAATACTTGTGCTCCCGCCCCTGTGCCATCCGCATCCGCATCCGCCTGTTCCTCAGATTTGGTGAGCGTGATAAACTAACTGCCTGGCAGCCCCTCCCATCGGGCGCTTTTCAACACTGGCAGACAGACAGTAAGTGGTGCAGTGGGTGGTGAGTGGTGGGTGGTGGTTGGATTGGCATGTGTATGTATTTCGCAACTTGAGGCGCTTTCCACTTCCGCTGGCGGTCTATAAGAAAACACACTCGCTATGGGGATACAACTTTTCTACTGCTTTCCATTTATTTTTTTTATTTTCGGTTTTTCTCTCTCACTTATTTTAGTTTTATTGTTCGGCATTTTATTGCACAAATTTTAATATTTATTTTTGCTGTTGGTTTATTTTGCACTATGCCTGGAAGGCATGGCTAGTATGCGAGTTGAAGTGTGTTTGTGTTGGCTGTAGCCACACATACACACACTTCCAAAAGCGAGATGCTTTGTTTGCTGTCTACTCGCGTTTAGTTAGCGTTTTTCTATTGCAGCTCCATTTTAATGTTTAACAAACTTGAATGGTGCAGTGAAGAGATCCCAAACAAACAAAAAGAAAATACAAACGATTTCAGCTCTTTTTCGCTTTTTCACTCCTTGCCTTGTTTGTTTTCGTTTGAAAACTTTTGAGGAAATTATTTTAAACTGCTAAAGCGGTTTTTTCTGCATTATATTCGTTTTTCTGCTTGTAATTTTATCTCATTTAGAAAAAATAATAAAAGTTTTATTATTTGATTCAATGATAACGCTAGCCACTCGGAATTAAATAAATACTGTAATTAAATTGTTTTATTCATAATTTAGAAAGTCGCCTATAGTCGAATTATGATACAGAATAATATTTTTGACACAGATATGCACATTAGTTAAACTGTTACGCTATGAAAACTTACAAACAAAGCTAACTTGATCGGCTTACTGGATTTGGCCAAATATTTATGGCTTAAAGCCAGGGAAATCTGTGTTCGGGTGGAAGTGGATGCATAAAACACGTAGGATGGATTCCTGGCTGGGCGTGTCTCGAAGGATATTCGTGCTTATAATTCTTAAAACTTGACGGGGGGTTATAGTGGTCACCAAAGCCACCATGCACGGTTTGCCTGTACCTAGGGGAAGATAATAAGATAAGATAAACTGATATTTCAATACTTACTGTGCTCCATATTGAGGATTAAATTTAATATTTCTCTCGTCAAATCTTGGTGGACCCCCATTAAACCTGGACGGGGTGACCTCCATCATTCCCGTTGGCGGTGGATGAGCTGGTGGGGACTGCATGTTTCTAGGAGGACCATACGCATGATTAACGGTCGAGGCCATTATCATATTGTTAAAATTATCATTTCCGTAAAGTTTTACAAACTGCTCGACGCTTTCCTGGAAACGAAATTGGACTTAGTCTGTATGTAATTCTTAAATTAATTAGTCTTACATCCGGACAAAAAATACCGGGTAGCGGCACGCCGCTGAACGCCATGTTTTAATTTAAGAATTATTTGTAAATTTTTTGTTAATTTTGAAAATATAAAAGCAGAAATTTTGGAGCAGAATTGGCTTGTTGTGAAGGAGACGGATGCCGAATAAAAAATGATAAATGTCGATTTTGAGTATATAAAATTGAAATCATTTTTGACGTATTTCTCTTGGCTTCATAAATTCCATAATATAATTCTTGTATTTATTTAAAAATACCAAATTAAATGCAAACATTCTTTAAATTTAAATGAATATTTTCATTTGCAATTTGAAGTGAACTTCAGTGAAATAATTTTACATCCATCGTATATATCACACCTTTTTATACCCTTGCAGAGGGTATTATAATTTCAGTCAAATGTGAAGTTAAGGAGACATTTCCGACCCTATAAAGTAGACTATATCCGATAGCTGCCATATAACTGAACGATTGGAAATGCCATAACTTTGGTGTTTGTAATTCATATGAATAATTTTGGAGAATATAATTTACAGAGTATTCTGCAAGGGTATATCAAGCTTCGGCTCCGCCCGAAGTTAGCTTTCCTTTCTTGTTTAAATTGATTTACATTGAGCTGAGCTGTGAGTGCTCCGGGTCAAGTTTCGCGTTAAGCAGTTGACAGGCCATTATTGGACCCCTATAAGGCCATCAACTACTCGGCACATTCGTTTAATTCTGCGTTTATTCATTTACGCTGAAAATCCTTAACGACGGGTTCATTTTTGTATGGCTGCCACGGCAACCTCATTACCTGCGACTTATTGTAAATAATTATTTGCGGCTTACAAGCATTTTTTGTGCCCTTAGCGTATGCGGAATTTATGAATAAATCATTTGATCCGCATTCGCCAGTGGCTGTCCTGCTTTCGAGTTGATGACCTCTCGCCGGATAATATCCAATATGCATTTCCGTGGCTCTGCCGATTCGCAGGGCAGGTGCTTGTTGTTGAGTTTTAATTAATCGAGAACTCATAAAAATATTAAAATGCAAAAAAGCACAGAGCTTATGCCCATACGGCAAAGGGCCGGGCCATATCGTCAAGAGTCGATGACGAGTGGGAAATGGCGATGCATGTTTTATTGCCCTGGCATGCCAGATGAGTGAATGTGACGGGGGGCAAAAGGCATACAAGTCCTTCCCGTGTGCAATATATTAAATAAGTAAAGCTTTATATTTTTTGCTTTTTTAATTGGTGGAAATTATGGCATGACTCAAATTCTTCATTCTCGAACCAACCACATAGGGCTTCAATTATGAGTATTTTAATCATTTTATTCAGAGTTGAGTAATTAAAGTTTAATAACCTGTTCTAAACTTATTCAAATTAAAAGTGAGTTTCCCACTGACTGTCAGTTCTACTTTTTTCGGTATTTATCTAGTAGATTTTGAGAATACCACCATATAGGTAAATGAATTTTAATCAGGGCTGCAATGTTTAACTTGTTCAACAACACACAACATTAAAGGTGATAACTCTGTTCATAATCGATTAAATAGTTCTTTTGATACTTGTGTCATAAGAAAATACACATAAATTGCAGGAAAGCAAGGAAAGTCTTTAAAATTTATTTTCATTTAACTGCTTGAGAAGTGTAATCCTATTGTGAATCGGCGACACCTGAATTGTGTATATATCAATAGAATTAATGTAAATGTGATTACTATATTTTTTTTAATAACCAGAACCAACCACATAAGGGCTTTAATAATGAGTATTTTCATAATTTTTTTCAGATTTGAGTAATTTTTTGACACTTCTGTCATAGGAAAAATCATATAATTTTCAGTTTGTAAAAAATTTAAATTAATTAAAAATTAAAAAAGTATGGTTGACCCAAATGTCAATCGGGACCACCTGGATTTACGAGGTTTGTATATACAAATAGAATAGTTGTAAATCGGATCACTATTTTTATTTATTAAAAGGCATCGATGAAAGAGAGGAAAGTTCGAGTAGCCTCTATGATGGGTGAGTTGTGGCAGAGTAAAAAAAGACAGGTTTAAGTAAGCTAATATTCCAGGTCACCAAGAAAATACTCGTCTTCTAGCGTTGACGATCAAGGTTATCCAGGCCGTTGTCGGATGCATATAAGCCGCTCACGTTCTCGGCGAATAACGACCAATAGTGCTGTAAGGAAAATAAATTCCGGGCCCGATTGGACTGCAAACATTTCAAAACCAGTTAGAGAGCGTTCCGAGGGTGAATGTTCCACGACGTCCTCCAGTTCTGATTCCAGCTCCAGCTCTGGATCAAGCTCTGGCTCAAGCACTGGCTCCGAGTCAGGATCCTCTTCCTCTGCATCTTCATCGAACTCCAAAAAAACTCCAGGAGAAGTCCAATGCACTACAATCTTGATCCCAGAAGAGCATCTAAATCAAGAACAATCTGATGGGGATCAATTAATGCTCTGTGAGCCAAGTTTTTCAGGAGCTGTTCCCGATTTATGTGAGCCCTCATTATCGTCGACTGTTCAAGGAAATACCAATCCAACAGAAGACAAAGGTAGCTCAGAGGAAGAACTGGAGGCAATAAACCAAAATCAATTATTGCCTTCAATGCAATACTCTCCAATTTCAAGTTACATATCTAGGTCTCGCTCAAACTCAAGTGCCAGGAACGAAAAGGAAAAAATATTGCCCACTGAGCAATATTATTCATTACTTACGATCCCCAAGGATAAACTATGTCCAGAAAATGTGAGATACAGCTTGCCTCCAAGCTCGGAAGGTGAACTCAAGAGAGGAAATAATGACGACGATCAAATTATTCCCACGGAGCAATATGCTTTATCACTTTCGATCTCAAAGGATAACTCATATCCAGGAAATGTGACATACAGTTTGTCTCCAATCTCGCAAGGAGAACTGAAGAGAGGAAATAATGACCAGGGAAAAATATTGTCACCGGTGCAATATGATTTATCTCATCCGATCTCTAAGGATACCACATATCCAGAAAATATGAGATGCAGTTTGCCTCCAAGCTCGGAAGGAGAACTGAAGAAAGGAAATAATGACAAGGAAAAAATATTGCCCACGGTGCAATATGCGACATCACTTCCGATATCTAAGGACAATCCAAAACCAGAAAATGTTACTTATAACTCGTCCCCAAGTTCGAAAGGAGAAGTAAAGAAAGGAAATATTGACAAGAAAAAAATGTTGCCATATGTTTCATCACCCTCGATCTCCAAGAATAAATCATCCTTGAAAAATAATCCAGGGTCAAACTCTAAGGACAAATCATCTCCAGGCAGATTCATGTACTACATAAGTTCAAGCTCAGAAGATGAACCGATTAAAGATAATCTCAAATATGATGTTATGCATGAGCTAAATGTTTCCCCTGACAGACTTAGTATTAATACCGATTTCGGTGAGAGTCCTGAGAACCAGCAGCCAAATGAGAAAGTAAATTTGGAGTGCACTTACAACGAAACGAATGAGATGGAGATCCCAGCTATTAGCGAGGGCGAAACTGTTCAACCCAAAGAAAATCCAATATTCCATGATGATAAGTACCGAAAAATGTTGGGAGACAAGCTGACGGCAAAGTTCCATGTCACTCTACCAGCTGATAGTTGTGGTAATATGAGATACAGTTTGCCTCCAAGCTCGGAAGGAGAACTGAAGAGAGGAAATAATGACAAGGAAAAAATATTGCCCACGGTGCAATATGCGACCACACTTCCGATATTTAAGGACAATTCAAAACCAGAAAATGTTACTTTCAGCTCGACCCCAAGTTCGGAGGGAGAAGTGAAGAGAGGAAATATTCAGAAGAAAAAAATATTGCCATATGTTTCATCACCCTCAATCTCCAAGAATAAACCATCCTTGAAAATTAATCCAGGGTCAAACTCTAAGGACAAATCATCTCCAGGCAGATTCATGTACTACATAAGTCCAAGCTCAGAAGATGAACCGATTAAAGATAATCTCAAATATGATATTATGCATGAGCTAAATGTTTCCCCTGACAGACTTAGTATTAATACCGATTTCGATGAGAGTCCTGAGAACGAGCAGCCAAATGAGAAAGTCAATTTGGAGTGCACTTACAACGAAACGAGTGAGATGGAGATCCCAGCTTTTAGCGAGGACGAAACTGTCCAACCCAAAGAAAATCCAATGCCCTCTGAAGATAAGTATCGAAAAATGTTGGGAGACAAGCTGACGGCAAAGTTCCATGTCACTCTACCAGCTGATAGTTGTGGACTTCTTGGCGGTCCAGGGCAGTTCATAAGGCTTCCCCATTTCATACCCGTAGAGTCCAGGGCTTATGAGGCTCTGAGCTTTGCGAATCGCATGACTTCAGAGGACTTCAAAGACGAGCAGGCTCGCGGGGATTTCATAAATCGCCTACAGACAACAATCAGATGGCGAGAGAACCAAGACAAGGTCAAGGAGTCGAATTCGAGGATTATTCGCTGGTCCGATGGCAGCGAGACATTCCATGTGGGCGCCGAGGTTTTCGATGTGATTCACCATCCTTTGAATGAACCCAATAGCTTGTATGCTCGCCTGGGGACCTGCTACCAAGGTCAGGGACCGATCAAGGACAATATGACACTGCGTCCCAAGCTGCACTCCAACATCGGACAGAGTCATGTCCAGGGCATGCAGAATCGAGCGATAAATAAACCGCCAATGCGCTGCGTCAAGGATCCATTAGATGTGGTCGCTGATCCTGGACAGGATCGTGAGCGGCGCGTCGAGGAGCAACTGGCCAAACGGGGGAGGGGGAACCTGACCGGCGTCGCGAGGATCAGATGAATCGCAAGAAGCCTCGTATTCCACCGATGCACCACTACATTGCAGACGATTCGAATGCAGAGCAACAACTTAGCAATCCAAAGCGCGTTGTCAAAGCAAATATCACCCAGGGCACACGCATTAATCGCAATGCGGCCATTAAGCCTGGCGAATTCGATGAGCAGGCTAACGATGGGGATATTGATGAGTCAAACGAAGAGGATGAAAATGACAACGTTATGGACTACGAGGAAGAATTGTTCGACAAGCCCTGTTGCACCGCTTCAAAGGCCAGAAAATTGGATTGCGATAAGGGTCCCAAGATCAGGATCAAGCCCAAGCAGTTGGTCTATACCCATACCGATTCCGACTAAGAATTTTATGTACGCTTGGTATGCGATGTGCATTAAGTATTCGTTGTACACTTAGTATTCGCTGTACACGAAACTTTAATAAACATAATGCATTAGCTAGCCCACAACAAAGAGTAGCTCCAACTGATAATTAATTAACAATTTCTCGCCCCCTCGCTGGGCGAACGGCCATTGCCGTAATTAGTGGGCGTGGCAACAGTAGCACATATTAGTAGCCGGCACTGCCATTGCTTAAGGTCGCAATGGGGTCGTGATTGCAGCGAGCAGCTCGAGCACTCTAAACCGAATGCCATTGTCCGACTGCCAAACTGACCGGCATTCCAACGCCCAAAGCAATTAGTGGGTAGGTGCACTAGATTGTTGCCTGGTGTTTTTGGAAAATTGGGTTGGTGGGTGGGTGGTTGGTGGCTATTGGTTGGGTGCGGTTGCAAGTGGGTGGTTTGGGAGGCACCTGCCGTTACCATCTCCGTCGGATATTGTCCCCGATTGCAACTTTATATTTCTCAAGGCCTAAATGCTGTCAGCATCGAAGCTGTTCAAGCTCAAAAACTAAATGCATACTTTGGGTTGCAGTAAAATTTTACATAAGTATCTGATTTTTTAGTTAAGATGGCAGAAATTGTTTTAGAATTGGTGCTCCATTGCTTTTTTCCCTATTTCCATTTAGTTAATTTTCCGAATTTTTAATGAGGTTATTCTTCATAAGATTAATTACCAAAAAGCCAAGCATTATCGATTATAATGATGCATTCAGTTATTAATTAAGTGAATGGTGTTATTTGTGCTTGCTCATTTAACCGGTGAAACTTGATCTGGAGCTAATGGAGCTTAAGAGCTTGCATGCCGAGGGGAGCATCGTGGTTCCTGCTGCAAAGGTATATAAGCTCATTACAATGCTTCTGCTTTGTTGTTGCCTTTGCCGGAGCAATGCATTCGAATGTAACTGAGATACGCCTTAGCTTGCCATGGGCCATAAACAAAACTGTCACGGATTTTCGGGTTGGGCGGAGAATCGAGCAGCCACACGACACGCCTGTAGGCCAAATATCTTGCACACATATTTGTCGACAAGTTGGCAAACTGTGCGGGCAAAAGGTGGCAAGTGGGCGGTGGCATGTCAGCCTTTGTGCTAATGCAATTTAGTGCCTCCTGCAGCAAATGAACCTTGGTTATGTGTTTATTAGACACCAATTTACGCCTGCTGCAATGTTGCGTTGTGGCCTCTTCTATGCCTGCTGCTTTTCATTTAAGCCGGCTGGCTGGCACATTTAAATTCTATGCCATTGTCATAAGCAAATCCATTTATGCAGGAGCAGTTTCCAAAATCCATTGTTTTGAGAAGCCAAATCAAAAATCAATTATTTTGATAAGTCTGATCGAAGAAACCATACAAGTACACTTATCTACTCCATCCATTAATTAGAAATGCGATTAAGTGTCTGTTAATTGAGAGACAATGGGCTTAACACATTTACAATGGTTCTGAAATTAATCATGAATTAATGGCAATGCTTCAATGAACTAAGGGTTTTGTGCTCCATTAAATAAAACTTATTTCAAGCTTATTAAATTGTTTAAACTTAAATGAATTAACTCAAAATTAATTAACTCAAAGGGTATGCTCCAATAAACAACATGTATTATAATCTAATAAAATTATGGGCAACAAACTTTTTATGATCAACTCATATCCATTCCAAAATTTTAACTATGTCTGATGAACCTGTAGGTATTTCGGCCACTAAAAGCCGTTAACTCGATACACTCATTAACCCGAAAGTCTTGCTTTTATAGCCATTATACATACGCAGGGAGGTAATACTTGTTAGCTAAAGCAAACACAATTACACTTACGCACTCAAATTTATTTACAGCACATAAAGTAGACACTCGTTTTCACACACACACATACACACACACACACGCGCAAGGACAAGCCGTTGAACAACCGTATCCTGTTAGTTTACATACCTCAAAGGCATTAATTATTTATGAAGAGACAGGCTGTAATAGAAGCCCACAGCGAGGAAGACAGAGACGGGGATAGACCGAAGAGAGCGAGAAAGGAATGTAATAAAATTACAAGCAAATGCCGTAAACACGAAAGGTTTTGAAATTCAAGCAAGTGAAAGCGGTGTTAAGTTTGCTGGCCGTGACAACTGGCAAACTGGCTAACTGGCCAACAGTAATTAGAGGCTATAATATAGCTAACGTTTCTCCAGGACGAAGATGGAGGGACGAGGGGGCAGTAGGCACATGTCAGTTGTCAACGCAGCAATTTGACAGGACCCGCACTGAAATGGCCAGATATAACCATTCCCACAAACACAAGAAAGGAGAAACCACAAAAGCGAAGCTAAATGCTGACCGAAACAAACCATTAGGGTAGGACAACTATGGTACAGTCCCAGACACAACTTTTGTTTAAATTGAATTAAATATATTCAAGCATAATCATAAAAGTTTAAAAGTAAATACAAGTCCAGAAATTAAAAAAAAATATCAATTGGTCCTTAAATCAAATTCACCACCCAAATTAACGATTTATCAAAAAATTTCCCTTAAAGTTGTTTAGCTTTAATTCAATTTAAAAATTAGAAAATAATCCTTTTCAATACTTAGCAAAGGAAAATCTCAGTTTTTCAGAATTATAAAAATTATTTAAATTATTTTTGTATTTCTATTTTATAGCATTCACATTTTTATGCCGTTGCATCATTATTTTTTTTAAAGAACATCAAAGGATTAAACCAAACTTTATTGAGCCTTTATGAAACACACTGTATTTATCTGTAAATATGTCTGACTTAAGAAACTTGACTTGTATCCTCATGTAATTTGGCTTTGTAGGTTTTATGTCTTGCGGATGGCATTATAAAATTAGTGACATACTCCAATGTGGCAAATGACGAGCTGGTGGAATGAGAATATTGGGTAGTATAGATCGAATAGCGAAGGGTAATGGCTATCTGATCCCCTGGGCGACTTCAAACCAATTCGGTTCCCTGGTCCACTTTCTGTTTATGACAGTTCTTGAAATTTCCATGCATATGTGCTCCTGTATTGAGCTAATATTTGCTTAAATCAATGAAAGCTTAGGCAGCGAAACTATTCCATTTAATTTTATTCTATTTAACAGGCGAGATGGTTTTAATGGCATTTCCATACCAATGTTTGCACACAGTAAAGTGAGAGAACGAGTATGTATTTAGGGTCATTAGTTGAATATGCATTTACGTTCATAAATAACTTTACACTTAATGTGAAACAGGCGAACTAGCCACCTCCCAAACACTTAAACACAAACACCCGCAATGCATTTAAGCGGTTTTCGTTGATCACATTTGTCATTAAAGCCGCATTCATTGAATAAATAATTCACACAAACATGCATAACTGTAAATTGCAAATCTGCTTGATTTGACTAATTGTTGAAATTGATAGCAATAATGGATAGGTTTGCGCACAGTTTGTGTTTAGATAAAGGGAAATTGCCTTGAGGCTTTCGAATTTTGAATATAATTAGAAAAATTTTTAAAGTATATATACAATTTTGAATTTAAATTTATTAGTCTTATAAATATTAAGTTGAAGATATATACAATTTTGAATTTTAATTATTAAGTTGAAGACTTACATTTTTTATCAGGTTAAAAGTTATTGGAATTATTCAAAGTTTTGTTCTTTGTGAAGTGTATTAAAAGATTCAAGCAAGTTTGGTTTTAGAGTCACAAGGATAAAGATATTTGGCAGCTTGGCACTACAGATATCGTCGGACATCAGTGTCAAGTTTTCATTAGCGAAATGAACTTACAGGTGGATCAATTTGAGTTTCATATTTTCCCTTAGCTCAATCGTGGCTAGACCGTTTTTGAAAATGTTCGGAGTGCGTCGCCAGTTAAACATTTCGAAACTCTCCGCCGGAATTCTGCACTGGTTATTCCACATTGCCCGATTAATGGGCATTGTTAGCCTCAGACTTAAAAGCGGAACTGCGGGCCAATTGGTCATAGAGGAAAGTGGTCCCAGATGGAGATGGACTTCTGCAATATTCCACATAGGATGTCTAATAACATGTGTCTATATCTACGTTTCATGGATTCTCAAATCGAATGATTTGCTTCTAGCGTTTTTGCACTTTATGCGCGTGTTGCTTAACATTACCTTATTTATGATTATCCTGAGATTGCAGCTATTTCAAGGACCTGAGATCAATCAGGTGGTAAGAAAACTACTGCAACTTTTTCAAAATGTTCGAGATACTTGCAACCGAAATCAAGTTGGCTTTGGGGGAAAATATGAGCTGGTTATTTTACTTCTCACTTTGGTCTGCTTCATAATAGAGGAAATCTTTCTACTCGGATTAATCAGTGAAAATTGGAAGGCAATTGCATTTTTCATTTTTTTTACCGATTTTATTATCTCTCTCGGCATTAAACTGCTCGTGAACATAAGCTTATTATGGTATTTGAGCCTGGGCCTTCTGTACTGCGATATTAATGACTTTCTTCGATGCCAACTAGAGGGCCTAAAGGTTCACCCCACAAAAAGAAAATTAAGAAAATTCCGAAGGAGTTTTAAAAGAATTTTGGCCATCTACGAGGAACTCCATTCCTTGACATCCCTGTTCCAAAAAGTTGATGATATTCCCCTCTTTTTTGGACTGAGCCAATGTGCAATCAGTGTTCTGGCTCTCGCATACACAGTCATGATCAAGAACCAAAATAATTTGTTCCTCTTATTGTCAAAGACTCTAAATGAGGTTTTGGACATGTTTCTTTTGACCATTTTGGTCCATAGGGCAAAAGTTCAATTTGGTGAAATTCGTCATCTAATGCTTGAGCACAGCAATCTTGGCGAAAGCTTAAATTGGCACAGAATGGTAAGTAATCAGACAAATACCTAATAATGAAAACTCATCGCACTCAATATTATCCATAGATGGAGATGTTCTACTTTCGTCAGAATGTATACGAGTTTCGGGTGCGACCGCTTGGCATGTTTGATGTATCTAACGAACTGTTCTTGGTATTCCTGTCCTCCTTGGTCAGCTATTTTATCTTCATCTTACAATATCGTTTGCAGCTGAAATAAGAAATACACTCCACTATAT